TGCAAGATCGATCCGCAAAGAAAAGTTAAGTGATCCGTTGAACGTTAGAGCCGCTGCAGGAGGGAACGAATCCCGGATCTTCCGGACTACTCCCGATAACAATGATTTCGGTAATGAATCAACGACAGTTCAACCATTTATCTTCATTTCGCGAGATTGAAAATTGCGCGAAAAAACATGTTCTTCCATTATTAAGAAATATATCTCTTATTAAAAATAAATGGATATAACAATTTTTTTATGAAAATGTGGTTACGAACAATTATATTTATGGATAATAAAATACATGCATCATTATTGTAGCTAGAGTTAAATGTGCGAATACAAATAATTCTCGGGTACCATCTGTTCGAGACGAATCGAACCCGATAACAGCAAAATTTAAAATATTCAAATACTTTGCAAGATAAAATAAATCGACATAATTTCAAGTAATTAATTCTAAGCTATTTTTTTTGTAACAAGAAATAATTCTCCACGATAAAGATCGTTTCGACTACTTGCCGGTACGAACCAGACAACTTTATTAACGTTCACCTGACGAGAGGGACAGCAATCGCGTTCAAGAACAGAAAGAACGGAAAAAACGCGGAAAAAATATGGTGTTTTTGCAGTATAATTTATTAATTTATTTTACGAATATTTGATTGCGATACGGAATTCGTAAATACATCAATCTCTAATTGAAAATAAATCATAAAATTCGTACTAATTTACTCGTGATTCTGCAATATTGAGGACAATCGTTTTTCATGAATGAAAAGCTAATATTTAGTCGTTAATTTAATATCGAATCTTCATATCCTTATTCGATATTTTTAATACCAAAGAATTATATATATTTGTAAAATTTGAAATATATATAAATAGCGTTTAAATAAATTAATTTGTCGATCTTTTTCTGATATGGGGTACCCATTCGATTTGTCTCGAAGTTTTTAAATATCCGCACATTTTACATTATATTCATATATATAATGTCATATTATATATTTCATATATCATTTATATATATAATATAATATTCAAAAAAGTATAAAAATTTTTTGAGATAGTATGTTAATTTGCGCATGTATTTTATTATATATATAAAATGATATATCTAAAAACTATCCAGAATACTATCCTAGAATGGCGAGATGTTTAATACCTGCAAATGATTTCTTAAAAGAAACCAAGAAATAATCTTTCTATCCTCAGCACCTAGAAATATTTTCTTAAAAAAAGATTGAAATTGATATTACCATTATAAATATATATATTTAATTTATAAAAATTTTTTATAATACAAATAATTTGATACTGAAAGCATTAACA